TATAGTGTTCATGAATAATATGTTTAGTATCAAGCTCCGCAAGAATACATAAGCTATAATGAATGTACGTCGGACAGAGATTTTCATTACAATTTTTTTAACCTTCCAAAACTACCCTTTGAACTCCGATTCCCCCCTTTCCCCTCTTTACCGTTACGATTTTTGCCATAAAAAACTCAAGCTAATTTCGAAGAAAGTATACAAGAGATTAACATGAAGGTTTATATAGGATAGACTTCGTTCAACAGTGCAAGAAATTCCTTAACTTTTTAAAGAAATCCGGTGTCAGCAACTGGACTTTTACTGCGGGCCAAATATACCTTTTTGCATATTAAAAGAGAAATAATCAACCAATTTTCTTGAAATTTAATATATGAAATCAAAAAAAAGGTGTTAAGCAAAAAAAAGTGCTTTTTTATGACTAAAAAACGCGGTATATTTTTTTTTTCTAATTGATTTCTTGTTTTAAAATTTATAAGAATATAAAATTATTTTGGAATGGTAAGGGCTTTGGTGTTTGGACGCCTGGGTTCAAAAGTTGTGCAGTATTAAGGTTTGCGAACTCAGTTCAATTCCCTTAGAATATTCTATCCATTTCTTCCCATGGATAACGACAAAAAACGTTATTTTTCAATTTAGATTATTTTGACTGATGGATTGATTAAGGTTACATTCGTAGCGTTCAATGTTAACATAATCTATTAATATGTAAACAGAAAAGTATAATTTCTTAATTTTTAACTAATAGTCATTTGATTTAAAAACACATGTTATTTTTAAATGTCTCGGAGTCTTTAATAACATAGTAAGTAGATGCAAATAAACAAATTGAGTTAAATTTCAAAATATGTACAACATATAAATAGAAGCAATATTTAAGAAAGGAAAATACATATGCATGTATATTATAGTAAAATGATTTTTTTACAACAAACGAGTGTAAGAAATATTGAAGTATTAAACTTACAGTTTTGAAAATATGTGTTCTATACATATGTATGTAAGTAATAACATAGTAAGTAGATGCAATTATAAATAACCGGACTTGAAATTACATTTTATGTACAATGCTTTATGTAAACATTTAATACATGTAAATGTGTACCGTGTATATAGATATGTATGAATAAGTATATATGTACGTATGCATTTGAACAATAAAGCTTTCAAATTATTATAATATAAATATCTGATTTGATTTTTTTTATAAAGTGAAGTGAAATTCTTATATAAAAATACTTTTAATCACGGAATATAAAAATCGAATGATTGGCATAATATGCTGTTTGGCATACAATAATTTTCTTAAAATTTAATTTATTAGGAAATAGGAAATAATATAAAATTGTAGTTTTTTATGTTTCTTCAAAGGAAATTATAATTAGGAAAATTATATTCTCTATTAGGAAAATTACATAAGGGGGGGGGGAGTGGGAGAATTTATGAAATTAGAGAAATTAGAAGAAAACTGATTTATATGAACTGAGTTAATTAAGGATAATTATTGAGACATCTTAATTACATGTCCCTTAAACGAAATTTTATTAGGAAAATTACATAAGGGGGGGGGGGGGGGTGGGAGAATTTATGAAATTAGAGAAATTAGAAGAAAACTGATTTATATGAACTGAGTTAATTAAGGATAATTATTGAGACATCTTAACTACATGTCCCTTAAACGAAATTTTATATTTTAATCAATATTGATTTTACTTTCTAAAACTTTTACGTACATGTAAATTTTAAATGCATAATATCAAATTTAAAAACAAAAGCTAAAAACTTTCAACTAATTTTAGTAAGTTCTCGTATTAAGAGAAATATTAATATTTAAATTTTATTGCGTAAATTGCAAAAACATGGTATACTTACATGAATATTGTCATTGACAGTTTTTCTGTATACGTACATATGTGTTTGAATAACTTGTACATATTTTAATTGAAATTTTAAGAATTGTAACAAAATGTAAAATATGCGCATTTTATTCAATTTGTGTATCAAAAATTGTAATAAAATCAAGAGGGTTTCAGAAGCTGGGTAACCAAAACCGACTTCAATCGATTTCAATTAATATTTTTGTGTATTTAATGTTTACAAATAATATTAAAAACCATCTGAAAATATATTTTGAAAAATTTTAACTACTATATACATATGCAAATGTATACAGTAACTAAAATTACTAGCTTATTTTACATTTTATTTAAAATATGTACAATTTTAAAAATAATTCAATTCAATTTTTATTTTCGGTGGATTAATATTATTATTAATAATTATAAAAATTAAAAAATGACACTCATTTTCCAAACCGTTAGAGAAATTATAAGAAAGAACACACTTAAAAAAGTTAAGAGTTTCAAGCGCAATGATTATAAAACTCAGAGACATAATTTAAGTAAAATTATTATGGGTTAAATTTTGTTATCTAAATAAATGCACATTAAATAGTAGGAAAACATCGTATCAAAAAAAATAAAAAATTTACAGCGGTTAATGTTATTTTTATTTTTTAAAATTCGTTTTTACTATTAATTATAGGTATAAAATTCGCATAATTTGAAATTTAAGTTATTTATTGCAAATTTTCTAAAAATAAAAAGATTTTTTTTTGAAGTGTTTTAAAAGAAAAGTTATTTGGGTTGCTTTTATTTAAACAAAAAACGCTGAAAGGCTTAAAAAAATTTAAATCGATGTTAAATTTTTAAAATTAAAAGCATGAGTGATTTTTTAGTTCAAACGAATATTTTCACTTGGGAGGAAACATGACTTTTTCATATTAATTTTTATTTGTTTCAGAATAATTATCAAAATTAAGCAGATCGGAATTACTTCAAAGAAACTATCACGCTATTTATATGTACATATATGTATATGTTTTAGTTACTTTGAGATAAATTTGCTTTTTACGTAGGTTTTTTTTTGAAAGTAATACAAACGTATTTATTTTTTGCTATCTAAAATTTTGATAAAAATTAAAAACTATGAGATAAAAATGTTATACAATGATACCATATGGTAATCCTACGAAAGGGTGGATTTTTAAATTGTGCTATGGCCTTAAAAATTCAGGACTCAGGATAAGGTAAAATTTAAATAAAAAAACTAAAAGCAGAAATGATTAACATAATATAAATCATTTTGGCTTTTAGTTTTAAAAAACTTCTACAAAGTTAATTAAAAAAGAAAAATTACGTTTTCCTTGATAAATGTTAAGTCATTGCAGTGTATATAATATACATAGAAATTATCATTATGGTTATAAAAAACACACGTGAATGACCTCTAGTATCTTGGGACAAAAAGAGTTTCATTTTCATTAACGTGATTTTTATCTATATATGCATGTACAATTAAATATGTATGTAGGTATTTCAAAAGTTTTTTTATAAGCAATTTTTTTATAAGTAAATTTCTTACAATCACACCTAAATGTTGCTCAACCAAATTGAAAAGCAAATTGAATAGCTTTTCAGGCTTAATATTAGAAATGTGTAACATTATTGAGTTTGAAAATTTTTTTCACACAAACAATAAATGAATTGGTTTTTTACTGAAAAGTTATCGTTCTAAATGAACTGTTACATACTCGTCATCAACTACAACTTGAATGTGCAGCTAATGTTAAGCCACCTTTAAACAAATTCCAAGATACTCGTATTATACCTTAAAGTCATTTCGGTATGTTTTTTTTATATCTTGAAAATAATTTCTTTTTTGAGTAAAATAGCTAAATATATTAACGACTTTGTAAGTTCTGAATAAATTATAAATGAATAATAATAATATGATTTAACTTATAGTATTAATAAGTTAAATCATATGATATTAATTTAAAAAAAATCCATACAATAATGCTTTAAAGAGTTTTATAACTTACAACATTCATATGGCATAATAAAAGCTAAAAAAGATATAAGCGTTAAGTCAAAAAACTTTTAGTAAGAGGGCACGAAAACAACGTCTTGCTCTAAACTCACTCTCATTAAAACACAGGAATTAAAACGCTTATGTAATAAAGGGAAATATCTTAACTATTGACTATCGGATTGTGGAATTCGCCTTCATCCTTTTTTTTTTTAAATCATGGCTTTCATTTCATTTTTTAACTTCAATTTTTTTTTAATTTTAAAATTTTTCGTGATGAGTCGGCGATTTTCTTATTTTCATTTTACATTTTTATGAATTTTTCTTTTTTGTCTTTTTTGCTTCATCTCGTTGCCTATTTATATTTACTACAATATACGTATACTTATATACTTTTCAACAATGTGATTGTTGGAGCATTAAACAAAATTTTACTTTTTGATTCATTCTTAAAATGACCTAATTTCAGTTTGAAATATGATATGCTGCTAATAAGAGACATTTGAATAACAAATCAATTCAAGTAAAGTCAAAAAAAGAGTGCAAAAAATAGTTAGAAGCAAAAACAAATAAATAATTTTCAATGAGATTTTTAAGTTACTAATAAAAATAACGTTTTAACAATAATTAATACAAAAAGATTGCGAATACAAAAAAGTTTTCAGAGTTTCTACAATCTAAGACAGATTTTTCTTATAAGGCGTGAAAAGTCTTATTTTACTTTAAAAAGAAGATGTTTAAGTATTTTTTCGACTTTCATATTTAAAATTTTGGATAAACTTTTTATATTTGAATTTGGCAGAGTAAGAAAATGTTATAGTTGAAAAAGTCATAACAGTGCATTTGACTTGGTCTACGTTTGAAAAATTATCCTAAAATTTTCTTTCTAAATTTGCTTTAGTTATAGTTTACTATTATTTATGTTTTTTAATTAAACTACAGTCTTTAATTAAACTACAATAATATTGCAATATATTAACAAAATTTTAAAAGAAAATTAAAACATAAGTAGATAAAAGTAGGTCACTATATATTCATTATGAAATGATGAAATAATTTTGTTAAGATATCACAGTATAAATTAGTGTAGCAGTATAGTTGTAAATTTCATTTTAAATTTAAATACAAACCTTTGATCAAATCTGTGGTTCTAAGATAAAAAATCCAAGGAAATAATTTCCTTTACAAAATTTAACTACTTTATTTTTCACCCAATGTTTTTTTTTTTACTTTATTTTACATTAAAACCCGATAACGAAAATAATTTAAAAAATCCTTAAAATTAAAAGTAAAGGTTTGATTTTTTTGTTATTGGTAATGAATTTTTCTTTTAAAAACCTTTTTTAAGTTTTGAATTTTATTATCTTATATTATTCAATTATTTTTTTTCATTTTGTTATTAAATAATAATGAGTTTAATTTTATTTAAACAATAAAAGAAATAAAAGATATTTAAAGATAAAAAAATAATATCGGGATTTTCTAATTTCGAATTTGTGAAATTTGTATATAAGGGAGGAAAGTTATTTTATTGTCTCTTTTTATATTATACAAATTATTTTTGTTCCGCACCACAAAACTAAACTCGAACGCGTCTTAAGACGAACTGAAGAAAATTTATTTGAAAAAAAGAAAATTTTTTGGTCTTCTGCAGAAAGCTTAGCTTTTATTTTTTTGATTTTAAATGTTTTTTTAAATATGTTTTTTCTCTTTTTCTGTATGCACATACAAACGTAAAAATATGGGTGTACATAAATATCAATGTATATAATATTTCTTCTCTATTTAGTTTTTAACAAAAACAAAACGAATGCAACGCAACATCGTTAATATACAACTTATAGTCAAAACAGTGGTGTATTAATTTTTAATGCATTGTGTACAAAAACAAAGATTGTCAAGTTGCTAGAGTTTCTGGAGTTAAATATTACTTTCTTTCTGTTGGAGGTAGTTCAAAATTTTCAAGGATTTTTAATGATCCGTTTCAAATCCGAATTCTAATTTTTTTTTGATGAGTTGTAGACGCATATTCCATTTTTTCGATTAGATTAATTTTTTCATTCCGATTTTCTCATATTTTCTCAGAATTTCTGTAAACATTTTAAACTTTCGACTGATGAAAAAATCTTTATCTAAAATCTGTATTTCAGCATTAATTAATTTAGGTTTTATAATTAAAAAATGAGAATAATTTACGTTGTTGGTAGTTTTTGTCATGACTTGGTTCATGGATCTCATGTTCTTTCAATTTTAAACTAAGGATAGTGTAACTTACTAATGGAAAATAATAAAATTTCATTATTTTTATCAAATGGCTTTTAGTTGCAGTATTTTCACTTGTTGAAGGGAAAGTGCTTTTTCAGTTTTTATACCCTGCACCTTCGTGAATTAGCTTTAGTATGAAGTATGTAATCACTTGAAGGAGTCGTCTCCGGTATGGACATGTAAAATTATGCGTTGATTTAGATTCTATAAACTCTATTTTATGTGTTTATAAATATTTTTATGTTTACAAAACATAATGCAATACAAATTTGAATGATACTTTTCTACTTAACATATATTTATATGTATATCATTTTATCAAAAGCTGAACTTAATGTGTTTAGGTTATTATATTACACTATTTTCAAATGCAATTAAAATTTTCTTTTAGCCGCTTTAATTAATAATAATAAGCTATGCGTAATTTGAACATTATGGGAAACTGCAAGGCTACATACATAGTTTTCATTTTGGATTGTAGACTTAACACATTAATGTGGTCACTGATTAATGTAATTTTTATCAATGTTTTTCTAGTTAAAACATGTTTTGAAATTGTAGGTAATGAGGAAAATTAAAAAATAATAAAAAACGAGAAGAGTTAGAGTTGATCATGGTAACTTTGTGATTCCCGTATAAATCAATGATTTCAAGATTTGTATATAATATAGCTACATTGTATTTTATAACAGCTTTAATTACTATATAAAATAACAAAAGCTACATTTTTACCGACCGTGTTGTGTATACAGGGTGATTCAGAAAGGTATACAACAACATATATCATTGGTTAGAGGGTCGAAAATGGGTAAAACTTTTGTTCTGGGGTAGGTGCGAAATCTCAAGGGTTTTCGAGATACAGGGATTTTAACGAAATTTCTAGTTATCTAAGCTTTTTTGATTATAACTTCCGTTCCAAAAAGATAGGGGCTTCAAACAAACAGTTTCCGAAAGGTCTAGTAAAGGGCTTAAAATAAACACCTTACTTGATTATGTATTTTGTGTGCTTTCGGAATACCAATCGTTCGAACTTTAGGAAAAATCAAATTTTTCCCTTTTTTAATTTTTGCAGTTTTTTCTAACCAGGTAATTTCGTTCGAAATTTTTTGAAACTTTGAAATTTTTTTTACAGAATTTTGGCCACTTTTTCAAACCTTAATTTTAGTCACTAAGTGTTGAAAAATATTTTCTGGTACATAAGATATAGCACGAAAACCATTTCTGTGTCAAGATTTGTTACCGAAACTAACTGGCGAGTATTTCAGTGAATTCGGGTAGCACAAAACAAAACTCTACTAAGAGCCAAATTTACATTTTTCTAGGTATATTAACTATAAGCTTACAAATGCCCTAAAAATTGGAAAGAAGTATTTAACGGGCATTCTAATAATATTCTGGAACACTTTCACTTAACTAGACAATACACATTGCGGTCGGTGATGTGCTGACCACATTAGATTTTTTTAATTATAAGCTATTTTGAAGTTGCCAAAATGAAATTGGAAGATGTATGCTAGTTGCGATAAAGGGAAATAAGATCTCAAAAGCTTTTACCAAACATATTTATATTACATAACAGCTTTAATCGTTTTTGCATGGTACCATTTCCTCAATCATATCCAATTTGAATGGGATTCTGAAATTTACTATAATAAATTATTTGTTAAGATTTTGTGATCTTAATTCAATTATTTTTTGAGTTATTGCTGAGACGGGAGGACGGAATTGTTTACATGTTGTCAGTGTCGCAATATATTCGTCAACAATCGATCAAACATGTTGCGTATTATGCAAAAGTAATCAACCCCCAAAGTAACCAAAAACCCAAAAACCACAAGCATTCGTTTCTTATATTTTTTACCTTTATATCTATATATGTTATACATATATTTTACATATGTACATAATATTTTTTACAATAATAATATATTATATTTATACGCATAATACTTATCATGCAATATGTTTGTAACCTTATGTTCTAATTTTCATTTTGTTTAAATTCAATCGTAATTGTAAACTTTTTAAATTCAATCGTGTGTGTCATTGTAGGTCGCATATACCCTTGAAGGGTTGCTGGATGGCTTGACAGGTTCGGATAGCAGACATACAACTCCGCAAACTAATTTTAAATATTCGTAAAAATAATAAAGTCAGGTTCATGAAAGTTGCAGTTGTTGTAGGTCACATATATCCTTAAAGTTTTGGCCTAATAGCTTGACAGGTTCGAGTAGCAGCCATACAACTCCAAAAGAAATTTTAAATATTTGGAAAATAAAAAAGCCAGAATCATGAAGCTTGGGCCTCGTATGTCTAATTTTAGGTCACATACATTCCTGAAGTTTCGGTGAAATTGCTTGACAAGTTGGGGTAGCCACCATACAACACCAAAAACTAGTTTTAAATATTCGAAAAAATAATAAAGTTAAATCCAGAAAATTTGGCAATCGTGTGTTCAATTATAGGTCAGACATATTCGTGAAATTTCTATAGAATGGTTTCACATGTATGAGTAATTGATATAGAACAATGAAAGGTGTAGAATATTATTCAATCGGTTTACACCGACTGAAACGTTTTTACTTGTTCAGCTTTCTTCATTTTTTTTAGTCAAAATCTAATAACTTTTTATATGAGGTATTTTTGGACGTATGCCACCTTACATTTTGCATAAACTAAATTAATATATACATACATTATTTTCATTTTGATAATAAATATATACAATTAATATATACTAATATTAATACAAATATTAATATACACGTATTAATATTAATAATATATACATATACATATAAATAATAATACATACATATTTTATTGAAGACAACTCATAAATATTAATAAGTGAATTAAGCAGCCAAAATATTTTTCAGTAAAAAAATTTAAAATTAATTTGTTAAACAGTCTTTGTTTTGATTAACCTAATACTCATATAAATACATATCTAATATACAGACATACATACATATGTATGTAAGTATGAGTACAAATATTTTGATTAACAAGTTTCTGGATGTTTGATATTGCAATGAATGCATTCCATCTCTGTAAAAGGAAATTTCTAATTGAATCAACAATGTTGCAAAACTAATAATTAGAATTGTAACCAAACGCAACATACATCAGGTTTATTTTGATTTATATAATGCTTGTATTCTATTTAAGGGTGTTAAATACTTCTATAAAGGCCGATAAAATTTGTGTAAATTAACTGAGAGCTTTAAAGTTAATAAGTTATGGATTTTTAGTTTTTTTAATTAAGGTAGTTAGTTGTTGAGTATAAAACACTTTTATGCATATTTATGTTATTATGCAAAATTCCTTCACTTAATATTTCCAAATTGATTTGAATTTTCTTCATGTACATAACTTAGTAGTATTTTGAAAAAGAAACATTTTCAATAAATAAAATATTTTTAATTTTCATCTTTAGTTGATTATCATGTTCACTTATGTAATTTACTATATATGTACTTAAATGTATATACATATATGCATGCAATATGTAATGTTTTTGTAATGAATACCTGAAAGGATTTGGAAGAAATAAGGAAATAGGTGTTTATTTGGAAATTGAATAAAATTGCGTATTCGGAAACCTGTTTTCATGTAATTGACAACATTTTTCCTGTGTTTTTTGTTTTTAAAAATAAAATACATATGTATGTATGATTTTTATACCCGTACGAACGTATGTTCGAAGGGTATACTAAATTTGCCTAACCGTTTGTAACGCTAAGAAATAATGGTCTGAGATATAGATTTAAGTATATTTTTTTAATCAGCATCGAATTCTGAGTCGGTTTAGCTTTGTCTGTCCGCCCGTCCGTCCAAACGATAATTTAAAAACTGATTGATCTAAGTTCACCAAAATTTCCCAAATGATTTATTATAGTAAATGCCAGTCCGGGTACCTGCCATACAATTTCAAAAGTTATTTGACTTTATCTCAGAAAATATTGAAAACACAGTACTGAAATTTTGCATAAATTAATATGGTAGTACGGTAACTTAAAGCCATTGTCTGTTTCATAGTTAGATATGGCATAATTACTCGCACATAAGATAAGAAATTCGTACGGGCATCACAGAGTTGACACGGTCAACTTTATTTTTCTCATTTTATTTTAGCGTTAAACTCAGCATAAATTCATACTTTAAATAAAATTCGCTTTCATTCCACTGCAATTGAACTACATTTGATTGAGTTTATTTTTCTTCTTTCTGTGTAGATTTTTTATTACCCCGTATTTGTACATACATACATATTTATTCAATTTATTTTGTGTTAAATG